CAGGAGCGAGAGCGGCAACCTCTCCCACGGTGCGCGCCCAGGGCAGGCCGCGCGGGGGGCTCCGGGCGGGAAGCGCCGAGTTCACGCGGGGTAAAAGCGCCTCCGTCGGGGCTGGCGCTGCTGAGAGCGGCTGGTGTTTGTCGTGCGGGGCTGCACGGACCGCGGTGTGCGCGTGGAACAGAAGTTGTAATGATCTGTTTAGAGACAAGGGCAGCGCAACAGGAGGGGAAACAAAACAAAAAACAAAAGAGAGAGGGACAATCCCTCGGGCTGCAGTATCTAAACCCAGGAATGTTAGAAGAAGGCGGTGGCAGCCCGTGGTTTTGGGGGCTCGTGTGTTTTTTGTTTGCTTGTTTGTTTTGTTGTCGTTTTTTCAATTGTGTCTTTGGAGGAAGGCTGCTTTCCACTAATACTTAAAAGATACAAGAAGCTATTTGTTAAGTATTTAAGTGTATGGTTCCCGATAAAAGGAAACTGCTGCTGTTTGCGTGGGGTCAGGTTGCCTGGGGGAGGTGTTCACCCTCTGCTCCTGTAGTTACCAACCTGTTTTATGGGATGGGAGGTCCACGCTGGCACCTCTGTGCACATTGGAGGCAGTAAGCGCGGGAGAGCCTTCTTTCCCCCCAATATAGAAATACCCGTGCTAAAACTCTGCCGGGCAGTGCCAATGCTCACACCGAGGCTGGTTTTATTGCATTCCTTGCTCAGCTTCATCCCCGCACGTGGGACCTGGTGCTCTTCCCCTTCAGTGCTAGGGAGCCTCTTAGGAGCCTGCTTTATTTTTTGAGTAACAGCCCGGAGCCTTCTTGCTGAAGCTGGATTACATTTAACTATGTTATATCTTAAACGTCGTGTGTAGCTATATTAAATTTAAGAAGGCTGGAAGCTGACAATTGCAAAGGACAGAGCTTCCCTGTGCGGAAGGGTTCAGCGGGCAGCGGCCCTGGGGACTCTCCTCTTCCCTCAGCTCCAGATGTTGCTGTTCCCACACATCTGCTCCGCTCCCAAAGGGATCCTCGGGAAGGGCCGGAATCGGCTTTGGCATCTATTCAAAAGTCGGGGTTAACTGGATAGTTTCATAATAATAATTCTATGGAATTTGTCATGTTTTAAGTGGTCTACTTGTGGTCATTCACTTGTATGACTGTTTGTTACAGGCATGTGGGCACATTCGATGACGGTTCAGGATTACCAGGATCTCATAGATAGAGGATGGCGAAGGTAAACTAAACCAAAAATTAATCTACAGGGGCACGTTGTCAGTTAAGTAGCTTCTGTGACAGATGGCTGTAGGGAGCATTTTCTAGAAATGTCACCCTAAAAATAAGCTAAATTTTGAACAAATATTCTTTCTTGCTGTACATAGTAATAAAGATTCTCCTTGTTCTGCCTGATATAAAATGATGGGCACAATCAAGATCATGTGTGAATTAAAACTTGCAATATGGGGTAAATATGTTTGCATGGCATACTGTATTTAAACTGACAATATTCCTTCAAATTCTCCAATTTATTAAAGCAAGCCTTGACTATAAGGCACTATTTATTTTCAGTGGTGTTTGGAGCTCTACATTTCTTTTGTTCTTGGAGTTATACTTTAAAAATATACAATAATATTAATCTGCCAACTTTATATCTTGTGCCTTAAACGAGAGGATAGATTTTTAGTGCTAACCATTCATTGTTTGTAAGTTTAGGCCTCACTGGACTAACTTTATGTGGAAGGAATGTTTTAGCTGTGGGTATGCCTAGACACTGTGAAAGTCTTGAATGTTCTAGGTCACTTTTAGGAACTATGTGCACCTCAAATACAGGTTATTTGCAAAAGCTGTAAGTAGAAAAACTGAATAACTCATCTCTTCTGTAGTGTCCTGTCCCTTTCCACACAGTCTAGCAACCATTGCACACATGAACAAATGGCTAGTCCAACAAGGACAATTTGGTGACTTTAGAAATATTTTAGATGCATCTGTTTTAGACATGCTGCAAGAGCAAACCACAGCAAGACAAGATGATCTTTAAATGTCCCTTCCAGCTTCCACAGGCGAACAGAAGGAGCTATCAGTTCTAAGCAGTGCTGGGGTCACAGGTGTCTTCTACAGCCCTGAGGGTTGCTTTACTAGATGCAAATTTGAAAAAGATGATAACCTCATCCTCCTTTTAATGCTAGGATTTCTGGCATTATTAATGCTGAATATGTTTGAGAACTTCTATTTCAGACTATCTAGGGAAGACCTGATTTTTGGGGTCAAAATCTTTAATTTTCCCCTTTCGTGCTCTAGTCTGCTGTCCTGCTCCGAGTCTTTTGACTCCTGGAGCTGCTGCTTTTCTTGCTAAGTCCCTCATGTGGGGAGATGATGACAGGTATTTTGAACTGGGCGTCAGAGCTCATCCCAGCAGCTGTGCCCAGCTCTGCCAAGGAGCAGACAAGAGTGTGATGGGGATTCACTTGCCCTGCAGGTAGATTCTGAACTGGGATCAGGCCAGGCTTTTGCTGGAGAATCCAGGATCTCTCTTATATATGAAAACACATACAGGACACAACGTGCTTTTCTAGTTGTGTTTTCTAATTGTATTTTTTCAAGTCATATTTGGTTATTCTAAGCTTGGAATTGAAGCCAAAAGTGAAGAACTTGCTTATTGACTTTTGATACTCTGATTTTAAGATAGCTATTTTAAAGAAAAGTTTTTTTTTTTTTCCCATTTATTTTGTAGTCCATGTATCTTTAACTTTTAATTGTTATTTTTAGAAGTGGAAAATATGTCTACAAGCCCATAATGAATGAAACATGTTGTCCTCAATATACAATAAGGTAAGAGACCCCCAAATGTTATTACTATTTGATTTGTAATTGATTTGACTGCTCCAGATGTGTCCAACCATAAATTGTCTTTTGTTGCTTTAAATACCTAAGACTTGAAAGATTAATTTATTTTTTATTGATAGTTTAAATACTAAACATACACCTCTAGGCTCATGCACAGGGCACATTGGAGAGTCTGTAATGTTTTCCTGTAAGCAGCCTGCTGTGTGTGTGCCCTTGCCTCTTGCTTCTGGATTTCAGTCCTGGGATTGCTTTCTTGCTCGCTGGTTGCAGATGAGATAGTGTGTCAATATTCCACAAAAAAATGCTTTTTGTAGCCTGAACAAGAGAGCCTATCAACTCAATTATTGGTATGAATAATTCTTCTAGATACATTTTTATGACACTGGGAGGGAAACTGTTCTTATCAGTGCTGCATCCATTAGATGTGGAAAGACTCCAGTATCAGCCTCCTAGAAAACAAACACACACCTTTCCTACTGCTGTCAAGGCCATCCTGATGTGTTTTAGCAATTCTAGAATGTTTTGTGTGTACGACTATAAAGATAAACATTATGCAGTACAAGGCAGCAGGATTCTGCTCATTCAAGAGCATTGATAGAATATGTGACTGCTTATTGTAAGAAAATATAAAATACGAAAAAATAAAATGCATGCAAAATAACCAGAAAATGCATATACAATGCATTTCTACGTGGTTCTGTACATTTTTCTGAAATAAACCTTCTCAAAAGGAAATAGATGAATAAAATATTTCTTTTTTATTTTTAAGATGCCAGGCTTTGCATTTTCAGACTTCCAAATCTCACAAGAAAGTTTTGAAAAAAATGTTGAAATTTATTTCTAAAGGAGATGTTTCAAAAGCAGCGGCTGAAGGTAAGAAGCTCTTCGCGCGCTCGAGAGCCAAGACTAAGATTTGAAATGAGGATCAAGCTCCTATGTTGTCTGGGTGGTTAATACACTTTACAAATGTGAAAGAGTCAGCCAGGTTGTATCTTTATAGTCTGTTTTGAAACAAGGGTAGGCAACATGTAGCCCAGAGAACAAATTCAGTGGTAGCTGATGTCCTGCTGCTTTTACCGGTGCTGAAACTGAGACTGGGTAGTCTGTGTTCTCTGTGTTGCAGTAGTACTTATGTCCAGTTTGCAACATTATTTGTTTATTTTAATTTTTTATTTATGGTGCGAGATTAGTGAAGGCCATCCAGTTTTAGAGTGAATAAAACTGTTCATATTTATGGGTTGGTATTAGTAATTCTTGGGTAACACTAATACCAACCCATAAATTACTTTACAATCCATTACTTTATGGATTGGTATTAGTGTTACAAAGGAAGCTTTTAGTATTTAGACTGGGAGGATATTGCAATCACTATCTGTTGCAAAATTAGCAATAATCTAGTATTAAGATGAACTGTGCAAAGTGTGAGCTGTCATTATGCAGAGAGAAATTCACTCACGCACGTTTTGCCGTTATTACCTACAGAAGAACCTATGGATTCCCATATAGAGGATGTAGTCTCGTGCAATTACGAGTGCAGAAGTGAAGCTCATGTCAGTCAGGCTGAGCTGACGCCCTTCAGTGCGGATGACACAGAGAGCGTGGAGACTGAAGACAAGGAAAAAGAAGAAATAAAAGAAGAGGTGAATGTGAAGAAGGTGGAATCAGAGTCTCTTCAGATCCATGGAGCTGAGGACACAGCAGCCCCTGGAGAGCCGTCACATTCGACTAAAACTGTTCATGCGGTGCCCAAGCCAGGTATTCAAATTGGAATATTTTATTGTTGTTTCATATATTACATCCTTATCTGTAAATTTGGTACTGTGTTTCCATAGAAAGAGAAAGAAGACAGTCCAACTCATTTTACTTTCTGATACATTTGTACAAAGATATGACTCTTTAAAGAGCCAAAAAGTGAAAGTACAGGTTTACAAATTTCAAGAGTTCTGTTTGAAATTAAATGGAATAGTGGAAGTATGTTTAGCATTTTAATAGTGTGGTAAATTTGTACTTTTTTATTATAGAAAAGGAAAATTCCTCTCTCTTTTTTGAGTTTTCACACAAAATCCTTACACTAAAAAAGCGTCGTCGTGTCGGTCACCTGCCATCCCTGTGTGTGTGTGAATAGCTGCTGTGATGCCTGGAGTGGAGCCTGCATCTCGTGGCACCTGTCAAGCTTTTCCCACAGCTTCTTGTGCCAGGGAAGACCACGTGTCCCAGCCTTTGGGTCATCCTCTCTGTAGTGGGATCATAGCTGCTACTTGGGCAGAAAAGTGGGGAAAAAAAGAGGAAAAGAGAGAAGCTGGCGGCTGTTTGGCCGGGATGCTCATGCAGGATGCAGCAGGTTGCTGCTTTTCTTATGTCTGCCCAGCTCTTCTCTTGCGTTTTGACCGTGTTCTTGTGACATGGCAGCACTTTCTGCAAGGAAGGTCAAAGATCTTGATGGGTATTGCCAAAATAGTTGATTTGATCAGCAGCCTATGCTGGGGAAGGAGGTGGATAAGTTACTCTTATGGCCCAAGGCTTGCACGATAGAAAACCTTCTTTTAGGGACAGTGCTTTCAGTTAGGCCTAGTATCCACAGTGGTAAATAATGGCAACCAAATTCCTGGGAACACTGAGGACTTCGGAATTTCCGCCTCTCTTGGCAGGTAATACTAATTCCTACTTTCACTCAGATATTATATGTTAAAAATGCCTTTGTCTTCACAAGGATTTTGTCTTCTCCTTCCTATAATTTGGCTAATTCTAAGTAAAAGATTTTTTTTTCATAGGTATACTGATACTATTTGACTGAAAATTTCACTGGTTTAACAATCAAATATGCACCTAAACAAAAGGAAAGGCTTCAGAAATGGTCAGCCAGAAAACCAGCAGTAGTGCTGCATGGAAAACTTATCTGAAATTGTATTTTAGATTTTTATTTTTAAAATGCACCTTCTTATATACCTGTTGAAGAAATTTTCAAAATGCTCTTCTTTTAAAAATAATTAATAGTAAAACTTTGAGTTATGTAGACGTCATTATAGAAACAAACGAAGTGCAGATTGGCAGCAAGTGGCAGTTTTGACTAAAGAGTATTAGTGTAAACCTGACGGTATTTTGAAAAAGGCAAGGTATGGTCTTCAATTATGTTAAGAATAACATTGTGTAAAACTTTAAACACTGGGAAAGGAGGTAAAGGAAGTTGGAAACATTGTTTGTATTTAGTTTTTTAAAAAGAGGGGGCAAAAAGGGGAAATATTGCTTTTTTTTTTCTCTCTGTAGATTTTAGAGGAAATATAATGAATAATAAATGCATTAGCAATCTTACTTGGTTTGTCCTTAATTCTTTTTTTTAGAGTAGTTGGTGTCACAGGTCAAACTTAGTTCAAAATTTTCCAGATAGAAAGATGTTTAGTTTTCATCTTGGAAAATGTAGACATATTCCATAATAAGATTGTTTAATTGCATTTTTATTCCTGTATAAACAAAACAGGTCATTGTCCTATAGGAATAATGGGCTGCTTCTGCACAGTTTCAGGTAGAGAAGAAAGTTTGCTTATGTCTGCATGCACCAGTTGTGGTTTCAAGCTTTCCTTGCTACCTTCTATAGCTTATAGAAGGTGTGAGACACGAAACAGACCCTGAGCCAGATGAAGCACTCGATCTTTCTTCAAATGCACCATGAGTATTTTAAATAAACTCTTCCACGGACTTGTTTGCCCATGGACTGGTCACATAATGTCTGTATTTCTCCTAATTCTTCTCTCTTTTTGGTGAATACTTTTAGCTGTGTGGAGGGAACACAAAAGCCTTACGTGAGGGGCAGGGATGCCCAGTTGTAAAATGTGCTCGTGCAGTTGTACAAAATGTGAAGAAGGTAGAAGTGCTATTGGCTCTTTCTGCAGGTTCCTGAGATGCCCTCAGCATTTCAGCTCTCGTGGAGTTGGCCTGGAGCAGCCAGAGGGGCCTTTTTTGGACCTGGCTGCTGCTCTTGGCTCATCTGGGGAGTTGCCCGTGGCTCAAACACTGAACGTCCTTGGCTGAGCAACAGCAAACATGGGCAAAAATGCATTTGGGCAAAGCTCTTACGCATGCACTTTTTTTCTTTGTTGTATTTCAGGTTTCTTGGTCTTATTTTTCTATTATATCTCTATCTCCTAAAGGAGAGCTTGATGTTTCAGTGTAGTTGAAACTTGCTTGTGCTCCGGGTTCTGCGCAGTTAATACTGCGCTTTGGAAAGGGGTGCTACATGTTCTGGGACCAGAATTTCTTAAAACAGAACAAAACAACCTCCTCCCAAATTAAAAAGCCAAAGGGAAACCCCCCATCTGGCAATTCTGGGAGTTTTTCCTGATGGATGTCCAGGGTGAGTTAAGGCATCATGTTTTGCCTGATGTAGGCATTAAAAAGCCTTCTTGGCTTTTTAATTTGGGAGGAGGTTGTTTGGATAATGTAGACATTAAAATCTTCTGGCATTACTGATGCTTGAGAATTGATTTCAATATAAACAAGATGCAGAGTGTTTTGACAGTGTCTGCAGTGTGTCTATTGGTGCACAGGGATGCAGGCAGCACCTCTGGAGGCTGCAAATCTTTGTAAACAAAGTAAATCCCAACCAGCAGTGAGCATTTAAAATATTAACACGTTCTCCATCTCCAGTTTGCAGGAGGACAGCAGCGTTCTCTTTGTCAGTGGAGGGGGTTTGGAGCACACAGAGAACGAGAAAGGTGTCACATCTGGCCAATTAGTTATGAGTAAGAGAGGGACAGGGGAAAAAATCTCTACTTAAATTTTCATGAAAACTCTGTGAAAAATAATTCCCATGGAATTTTCAGGCCTAGAGGAGAGTAAAGTGGGATTAGCCATAGTTAAATCTGGCTTCGGATTATGCTTTATTTCTTCTAAATATTAGCAGAGTTGAAATGTGTCACCTCCTTTGTGCTTCAAATGAGAGCATTTCACCTTCCGGGGCGCTTCTTTCCCGTTTAAAAAGGTCAGTCTCCCTGCAGTTGCCAGCGTGGGTCTCCTCACAGGTTTCAGGAGAACACTAAGGTCATAAAAGCCGTCGTGAGCAGCTTGTCATGGTATTTGTGAAGATTTCTTTGCTCTGTACAAGATGTATGACTCCATATTCCCCTATGGGGACATGTCCTTTATTTCCAATCTCTTCCTATCTAAACCTTTAATATTATGGCACTTTTCTGGCCTGCAGCTCATCCACCAGCACCTCAGAGAGAGAGAGAGAGAGAAATAATAATTAGATTTATTTGTATTACTCTGGCTGTTTTATAATATATTTCATGTAACTCTCCCTCTGCTGAGAACAACTCTCCACGTTGTACAGAACTTCCCTTTCCCCTTTACTCAACTTGCGAAGTCTGATGTTTGGCTACCTGGGGCTGCTACCTGGAATGGTTATTTTGCTTTGTTTTTGTTAACTTTGTGGTACTGTTATGTGTGTAAAATGAACTTGCCTCCTTAGCTGAGTAATTTGGACCACACTGCATTTATAATTCTAGTTGCTTTTTGGATTTGTGTTCCCATAAAACACAATGTATGCTGTAATGCTATTCTGAAATACTCTTTCCATGTTGATCCTTCTGTTTTCTAGGTTTGTCTTTTGTTTTAAATAAACCCCACTTCACAAACAGGACTTCATGAACAGTTGATCTGATACAGATACTGGGATACAGATTGGTGAAATTAAACCTATTAGTGAAAACACACAAACTGCATATTATTTTAGGCAAGGAGATATGTCTGTAGCCTTTTACAGCTCTCTTGCATGACATCAGTAGCTATTTGGATAAAAAAGATCTCCACCCCATCAAGTAAACAGGACCTTTTCTCTGCTTGCATGGTATGATAGCATAAGCAAAAAGCTGAAGGAAGTTTTTTTATTATTTTTAAGATATGTTTCCGAACAATTAGTTCAGAAATTAACTGACCTTTCCTGTTAATTAGAAGGAAGGTGCTAGTTCCAGCTCGCAGCATTGGGCAGCAGTAGAGGGAGATCATTGCACCACTTGGTTTGGCACTGGCGTTACTAAGGGCGGTGGGCAGCAAGTGTGGAGGATCTCACTATTTTCAGACTTCAGTTAATGATAACTTTAACCCTTTATTTTCTCTTCAGCCCCCATGCAAGAACTGCTTGCTTTTCAGCAGAAGGTGGTGTTGAGTTCTCTGTTGATGTCCTTGCAGGCAAAGGGGCCGATCTGAGCAAGCCGCCCTGTCGGAAAGCCAAGGACATTCGGAAGGAAAGGAAACTGCAGAAGCTCCTGCGGAACCAGCCGTGCGCGCCCGACGGCCCTGCCTGCCACGCAGGGGACCAGGCTTCGCTCCTGCAGAACTCCAAATCTAAAACAAATCAACCTAAAACCATCGAAGACTTCATTTTTACCTCTTTACCCGATGATGCCGCGCACAAGTTGGAGGTAACGACGTTTACGTTGTCGCTGGAAACAATAAGGAAAAGTCTAGCTAAGGATTTTTTTTAACTCTCCAAAGGCTTAGATATTTATTACCTATGGTCTTATTGAAAAGTTCCAGTTTAAATCTTAAAATCAAAGGCAAAAAATGTGCGATTCAGCTGAATTCTGTGGGACCACATGAGGGCACTCTTGCTCTAGTCTTAGCAGAGACTTAACACTTGTAAATTGATTTCATGCCCTGTGCCTTGAAAACTAAAGACTTTGGAGTAGTTGAGTGTTGAATGATGAGAGATTCAATATTTGGTTCTGAAATGTATAAATACTTAAATTACCTATGTTAGCAAATGTGGACAGGAAAACAGTAACAATTTGTAAAACTAAGCTGATAAGAAGATAGCTGCTCGTTGTAAGTGTCATAGGTGTCTGTTGATGGCTCTGAAAGCCATAAAAATTTAGGCAGAAAATTTTACTTAAATATTGCAGCTTCCATAAAGTCTATTAGTAATATAAAGATAGTCATCTTGAAAACTTTTAGACTTCCTAACACATATTAATCATGACACCATTTTTTCTGAAAATTGAAAAACTTACCAGAAACTTATCAGAATATAAATATTTTCTTGTAGGTTTTGATCAATGGTAGTGAGAAATTGCATCTTAAATACTTTTTTTGGTAACTATTTAAGAGCATATTGATGGTAAATTAAAAGATTCACCCTAAATAATTGACAATAAGCCACAGAATTGATTTATTTCACTAATGCTTGCTAGTTTTTGCTAAGAAGTGTGTTGTGGCGTGTGAGTGTTTTTGTGTATGTCTGGGCTGTTTTTATTTTTGGTAAGAATGATTGTCAGGACGTCGAGATTGTGCTCCTACCATTCAGTGGTAACTGAATACGGGAGCGTTGTTACCTCTTCTCTTTTGGGTTTGAAAAATATGTTGGGCTCCCCTTGGGATTACTGCAGTACAGAAATGGTCTTTATCCAAAGAGAGACTTTTTTAAAAAAATATTGTTCTGCCTCTCATTTGTTATTGTTATTTACTGAAAAGTGTTTGTGTATTTCTTCCATAGGTATTTTAATTATCATAATTTGTAATTTGAGAATTTTATATTACGATGTTGTATATATTTGTATAGTTACTGTGACACTGTAATAATGAATGTTTTTAACTTCTTCTGAAGGTGAGGGTGGTGAGATCATCTCCACCAAGTTCACAGTTCAAAGCCACATTTCAGGAGTCTTACCAGGTCTATAAACGTTACCAGATGGTCATTCACAAGGACCCACCTGATAAACCAACTATAAATCAGGTCAGAAGGCCAAATGAATTTATGCAGACTTCAGCTCCCCCTCCATTTCATGGCTTGCATAGGGTCTAGGAGAATTATCCTTTTCTACTCCAAACATGTAAAATTTACCGAATGAGATCAACATCCTGAAAGTGCAAACTCTTTAGTGTTGCTTTGTGAGTGCCACAAATATTTGGTTTTAGTTGCAGACAGATAAGATAAAAAAAGCTACATGGTGATACTGTTGGGTAGAGATGGAGGAGATGAGATTTTTCTGGATATTTTGTGGGCCTTAACAATACAGATCTCCAAAGAATTAAAAGTAGGTGGATTTACAGTTGGTCTTGCTGGCCTTGATCTGAGTGCTTGCTTAGGGAGGACAAGCATGATCAGGGCCATCATGCACGTGTAGAAATCCACACGTGCAATTTTTTTTCCTTAATGAAATTATCAGCAGTTTATGCTGATTAAGTTGCAGTATTTAATAAACCTCCCATTGTTATTCTGACTTCAGAGGCTTTGAAATGGCTAGGAGGAGATCTTACACTAGCCTTACCTTCAGAAGCAGAAAATGTGATTAAAGGGGCTCAAAACAGTGTTGCTTTGTATTTTCCTTGCTCTGAAGGTGAGGTTAGTACCTGTCTCCTTTGAGGACCCCCAGTTCAAATCATCTTTCAGCCAGTCAGCCGCTCTCTTTGCCAAGTATCAGATGGCCATACACAAGGACGCTCCTTCCGAGTGTGGCGAGAACGAGGTACAGTGCCCTGCATGCACCTTTGTCAGTTGTTTTTACAGCCTTCAGGGAAACGGTTGGAGATGGTGGCTCGGAGAACGATTCTGAAGAGGACGATGTTGTAGTTACCTTTGGAAGGGAAAACACGAGGTTTTTAGTAAGGTGCTGTGGTTGGCTTCAGCCCATGGGTAACTGAGCTGAAGAGAGAGCTATCATAGGCAAATACGTAAATAAATAATTAGGCTTGATACCGAAATATCCATTGGAAATAGTCTAATGATATGGATTTTTTTTTCCAAAAAACTTTGCCATTCTAAAGGTGTTTAGTACCATTTCTCCTTATTTTGACATTGTCTTGCTTGTTTTAATAGGCTAAGGTTTTAAAAGCCTCAGTTCTATTTCATTGCTAACAATCTCTCCTAAATCTACACCTCCACAGTGGGAAGAGCACAGAGACGTTACCGCAGGCAGGCTGGGCAGGAACGTGGTGTGTTTGAGTAAATCTGCTTTCAGAAAATAAGAGATGCTGTTGACATGATGCTCATCCTAAGAAGTAGAGAGAAAAGCGGGCATCTAAACAAACAGCATCCCTCTGGTTGGTGCCAGGCGGCCCAGCATTCCCATTAGCAGAATTCCCAAAATGCAGATCTCATATCTGGCGTTAGGCTGTGTTGTGAGATGCCAATATTGATCCTCTGTCCACCCATCAACTCCTCTCTTCTAGAGAGTGAGAGTTACTGAGGTGATACCCAGCAAGCTGAGCCTGCTCTCCAGGTAGAGTAATAAAACCACGTAGTCGTTTGCTGGTCTTAGTTCAAAAGAAAGCGTAGGCTTTTTGCAGCATCTTTGAAATGCTGCTGTGGAAAGCCATCAAATGGCTTCACTTTTTGTAAAATAATATGAAGCAACAACAATAAACAGGCCCTGCCCTTCTTAAATTTTCTGACGTAACTGTGGTTAATTAAAATATGGTGGGATTTGGAAACATATAAAGAAAGTTTGAGGTATTTGCAAGATTTGTAATTGGCAGTAGCTGGCCAGTGACTAGTGACTTGACTTGTCTGATCCAACGGGTGTATTTCCATCCATTGGGAATGGATGGCAATAGACATTCCATCTATTTCCTTTATTTTCCAATAAGTCTAGATATGATTGAGACTCCCCCATGCTTTTGCTAAAAAACTCTTTATACGAAGAGAGGGTTATAACACATTTACTCCTCCTGCAGAGAAATAAAAAATCTCCCTCTCCCATTTTTGTCTAAATTTTTCGACTGAGAGAGCAAAGAGGATGAAATCCTGGAGGTTAAGGACAATTCCCCTTTCCACTATCACAAGGTGTGAAGTCTGTCACATGTATTTCTAAACAGCAAACAGATTAATTTCTGTTTATACTGTTATGAGGTTAAGAGGTTGGTTCCTTGGGACCTTTTTATACTTCTTTTTCTTGTTACCTAATATCGGTGTTTCCCTGCTGTACCTTTATCTTCCCTCTCTGATATAACGTTCTTGCAGGCTTAGGGGAGATGAAGACCTGCTGCTGTCTCTGGGAAATGTGAAAACTCCTCTGGCTAATGGTGATTTCTAAGTTAAAGATGGTTCTGGAGCACTAGTCAGTCGTGTTAAGCACAGTTGTTCAAGTGAATTCTTTACTTGGTTAAGATAATCTTTCTAGTCCCAGTTTTTGGGCTCTGAAGCTCAGTCACTGCCCTTCAGACAAACAGGTTCTGTGTTTCATCCCTGCAGAAAGTAACCTGAAGAATTTAATCACACAACATGTATTTTGGTGCAAGTTAGAAGCCTTAACATTTTGCACTGAAGTAATCTAGGAGAGGAATTATCTGAGTCGCGACAACAGAAGATACCAAGGAGGGTAAAAGTGATCCAAGTTATTGAAAGGGAGAACAGAAAACGCCATCTGAAAGACCTCATTTTTTTTTCTTTCTCTTTTACAGACTTTTTAATATATCATTCAGACATTATGGAGCCAAGCAATCTTTTAAGTAAAGTTAGAGTGAAATTCTGTCCAGTACATAGGCCTTTTTATCAGGGTAATAACAAGTCTGCTTTGGGCTTGAAATTGGCAATCATCCAGGAAGCTTTGGGGTATAAAATTAAATTTAGCTTTTAATTTGTGTAAGCTATTATACATATCTATGCCTGGTGAATGAGCTTTCTTTTCAGGGAGAGTTCTGTATGCTGTTGTATTGTGGAAACCATTTAATTCTACATTTAGCTGAACACTTCACATTCAGAAACCTGCCCGGATGTAAATTCAGAATCCAACAAAAATATTATAAGATATATTAATAAGCTTTTTGAAGTATACTCTTAGATTATTGGCATTGTCATATACTGTCTTCCTATATCAGCTGCTAAACTGTTTGAATATTAACTTTATTACATTAAAAAGCAATTTTAGGAATAGGTTTATAATTCTGTGGTGATTTAGAAATAACACCAATGAGGAAAGCTTACAATATTAACAAAATTACAAAGACTACAGTATTAACAAAAGGTGTGTGGCCCCTGAAGCTGATTTTTGCTCAGTGAACATGAAGGAAGGCCCTCCTCCTCCATCTATACACTGAATTTTGTCAGGAAGATTTGATATGAGAAGGGGGAATAGATGAGTTCCAGGACAGGAAATTCACAGAATACTTAACACCAAAGATTATTTTGGCCTGTTAGGTAATGTCTGGTTAATGCCATTCTGAGACCCAGGGTAACAGATATTTGTGCCCTTTTGGAATTCTCCTCTTTGCTGTTATTCTGGTCAAGAAGTTGTTCCATGAGAACAGCACCTCGGGCTTACACAAAATTCCTGGGGTTGATAGGTATTTTCTTGATACGTATTGGCCAATAAAATGGTTTCTTGCAGTATTGATCTTCTGAACTTAATATTTTACTTTTGCTGCTACTAGTAATGAACTTGATTGTCTAAATCAAAGTGTCCATTAAAAGCCTAAAAGATTAAAA